AGGAGGCAGGGAACCCCTTCCTAATCAGAGCTTCCTGCTGGGGCCCAGCTGTGCCCCCCTTTACCTCAGCACTGCGGAAGGGGAAGGAGGGCTGCTCTAGCACTCCCCGGCTTCTAGCCTGAGCCATTGCAGGCATGTGCCAGCATTTCTGGGATGTCTGTACAGTTACAAACCAGTTCAGCCTAGCCAGGTTAGACTAATACGCAAAGATTGAATCAATTCAGGCTCATGCTTTTTGAATGTCTGTCCCTAGCCTTGCTGTTAGGCCAAAGTTGTGCAGAAAACCTTATGTAGAAAGCACAGAACTCCCATTATTAGAAGATGAACCATCCAGTTGCTGTCCTAAAATCAAATCTGTTTGGAATCCTATTGGTCCACGTGTAATTTAGAGAAAAGTAAATTAGGGGAAACACTATACTGTAGAAAGTTATTATGGTGCATTGCAGTGTGATGGTGATAATGGCAAAATCCTGTTGTTTGACTACAGATTGACCAGAGAAGATAAAACATACAAGTATTTTTAGCAAAAAGAGACACTGGCATAATTCAATGCTTTATGCTGTCAAAAAATGTGTGCCTGATTTTCGCTTTTACAGAGCAGTTTTCAAGATTACTTAGGTATGCGCAGTAGCTTTAGTTTAACCTATATAGCCAGTGCTTAGAACTGCACATCATTCTCTTGAAAAGTCTTGTATGATGAGTCCATTAATTAGAGGAAATTAGGAATATAATATTTATGACAATAATGGATACCACTGTTTCTTGATGATTAATACTGGCACGGGTTTCAAAATATAAGAGCACTTTCAGCTCCATGCTGCCCTAACAGAGGACTTCTATGTGGGCAACTCTTCTGAACTGGAAAGAAGGAAATGGGAATTAAATATGTAGGGTAGTTTACAATAGTCTGAAATGAGAAACCTGGTATTTGTTTTCTCTCTCAGGTAACAATTGCTTCAAGAGCTTTAGGATCAAAGAAGAGAGTTCCAGAAAATAAAATTGTGGCAAAGTGGGACTCCCTGCCTAGCCGCAGTGCTAGGTTCCCCACTTGCCTTTGGGCA